TAATATCCCTTTTTTATAATAATTGTCTTTCTGTAATAAACTAACTGATCGATTACACTCCTTGGCCTCATTTACATCTTAATTTCACTCTTGGGATCATGAACATAACAGCGTCTGATAGCTTCATAGAATTATAGAATCTTAGAATAGCTAGGGTTGGAAAGGACCTTAAGATCATCCAGTTCCAATCCCCCTGCTATGGGCAAAGACATTTCACACTAAACCATGTCACCCAAGACTCTACATCACTCCAGCTGTTTAATTTAGCCTGCTTACTGCAGGCTAAATTAAGTGGATGCTGTAATGAATACTTATTCCTCTGTCAATCGAGTAGGTCAGTATTTCCAAGACCTTTGTATGTAGATCAGGAGTCGATTAGGAAAGAATATTGTAGCACCAGTTGGTTTGCAGGGGGTGCCCTAGCTGGCCTCTTCTCCTACTCTGTGCAGAAGTGAAGGAGGAAGAGGGAGATAGTAAGTTCACTTTTAATGCTGCAGAAGGAGAGCAGTATCATGGGTGCTCCTGGCATTGATTTGTTAGGGCAAGAGTTGTGGGAAGTGTAAAGGAGGGGAAGGAAAGAAAGGGAAGGAAAGGCAAGGCAAGGTGAGGCAAGGTGAGGCCATCTTGCCAGGACTTTGAGGTACAGAATTTGTGAGACTGCTGACTTCAAGAAAATATCCGAACTGAAATCACTGCCTGACAGTCTTTGAATGAGACATTGAAGTCTAGCCTTGCAAATGTTTTCTACATTAGGGACTGTAGTGATAGGACAAGGGGTGATGGGTTCAAACTTAAACAGGGGAAGTTCAGGTTAGGTACAAGGAGAAGTGTTTTTACTGTGAGGGTGGTGAGGCACTGGAACAGGCTGCCCAGAGAAGTGGTAAATGCTCCATCCTGGCAGTGCTCAAGGCCAGGTTGGACATGGTCTAGTTTGAGATGTGGGGGGCAGGGACATGGCAGGGGGGTTGGAACTAGGTGATCTTAAGGTCCTTTCCAACCCTAACTATTCTATGACTCTATGAGTGGTGCAAAAAATATTTGAGAATTCACTCTCATTGTCTCTCCTCTCTCTCTCCCCTCTTTCTTTTTCTTTGTCCTCCCTTTCTCTCTATTTTGTACTCCCTTTTTTTCTCTTTTTTTCCTCTATTTTCTCTGTGCATGTATTCTTAGCAGAGAGATAATCTGGGGGCCTTTTCTCCCTCCTACCTTCTGTAAAACCACAGAAGACCATCTGTTACTCCTATGGTGGGAGTAGAAAATATGTTTACTTTTAGTAACTTTCCATCAAGGAGATAAAATGAGTTAACAGTGTGCATCTACCAGAGCACTGGTGATCTATGGGCTGTAATCTAAGCATTAAGGGACTGAAAACAGCAGACATTCCTTTATATTCCTGTGTATCATGCCCATCTATACTTCTGTGAATTTCTTTGTACAGAGCATATAGTTTGAACACCAATGCCTCCAGAATGCTAATTTATTTAGAAATAAGTCACCTCAATTTTGCTGAGAAATCAGCTGAGTTGGTAGAAATTTCCCTATATCAAACAATGTGCCGGATTTCATGTCTGTACTTGTTTCTTCTTTGAAAATAGATTTACAGTTCTGCTGGCTGGTACCCAAAAAGGATATTTTGAAAATTTGAAACACAGCTGAATTGTTCTTGATTTATAGGAAAGATTGCTGCTAGACACCTCTATATAACTGAAAGAGTTAGGGTCAGACCTCATTTTGCCTTATTTTGATAATTCATGCAGCCTTTTACAAGCATACCTTCGTGTCCATTTTTTTTTATAGGGGAGCAGTATCAGCCCTGAGCTTCATCCTTCAAAGGTTCTCCCTTTAGGAAATCTGTTTTATTTCCTTGCATGTATGGAAGCACATAGTTTGAAGACCCTGGGTGCTAGGAGGGACTCCATCCAGGGTGTCACACTGAATCTCTCTGTGAAAAAACACATGACACATAAATGGACTGAGTAGGTGTCTCACGTGTCGTTTAGCTCTCTTAAAAAATTGTACTAGTAAAACAAAGATGAATCATTCTAATACAGAGAACTCACAGCCCACCAGGCCATTAATTCTAACATGTCATGCAAGAAAATACAATGTTTTGCATAAGTAAAACAAAGAAAGTCGTCAAATTAAAGATGGTTATAATGAAATGAATGGATCTGAATGACTCATTTGAATGTTTGAATGCACTGCTTGAGATAGCTAAGGAAAGGAATGATTAATGACAATGGATTAGTTGAAAAGCAGCATATGCATAAGATTATAATAATTTGCTTGCTGAGCTAATAATAAACATGAATATTAATGAATTATTAACTCTTGCTATATAGCCATGTAATTCCTGTGAAACCATATACCACAGGCTCTATCAGTGGATGCAATTTAGCTGCTTATTTTGTCTATAACCTCATGAATTACTTACAAAAGATCCAAAATACATGGCACTAGGTGCTGAGCTGATACAAATCTATATAGCCATATTTGGTGAAAACAACCCTGAACCTGTTCCCACACAAAGAATCAGATTAGCTTAGTGAGCTTGAACTCCAACAGGTTTTAGAAACTCTCAGAGTCAATTTGGAGTTTTAGGAAGTAGTCATTCTTTATTTTGCAGCTCAGGACAGACACGCAAATCATTTCGCAAAGTTGAGCACACCTGGACTCTACAGGCAGCATCCATTATCCAACAAACTTATGTATATTTACAACCTCTCCAGGAAATGTTTTACATTAGATTTCATGGAACTACTTGTAATATTTGCATTTTAATTGCGCGTGTGCTTTTCTTGCCAGAGGTGGTCTCGGGGGGTCTCTGATCGTCATTGATAGTGAATTGTGAATTACTTAACAATTGTGTCTGTGTTTTCCGTTAGTTCTGATTTGCTCCTCATCTTGAAGAACTGGCGCTGTCTGTCTTGGTCATACCTTTCTCATCTTCACAGGCTACCCTTCTTTTATACATACCTCAAGGGCCCACTGACCCATATTGCTCTCAACAAAGTGGGTCTAAGTTACAACCTAACATCCTGCTCTCAGCCGAGCAGTCCCAATTTACAACCTAGCATCTTGCTGTCAACAGAGTGGTCCCAATTTACAATTCAGCATTTTAGGTTGCAACAGGATGGGATCGTTTTTACATATTTTTTCCTATAACCAGAGAGGAATGTGCACTTCCAGTGGTCATTGCAGATCAGCTTTATTAACTTTTGCTGTGTTTTAGTCCCACATCTTAGAAATTAGTGTACTACAAAATTGATTGGAAAGGGCTCCTGTTAGAACATGTGTCACTTCTTTGCAAGGCAGGAAGCACAGTTCATTATTAAAAGGAAGAATAGCAGCCTGAAGGGGGTCCTTTCAATTCCTTGTCATTTGAGAAGACTGGTAGTTGCAGTGTGCGTGTGATACTCCAGGAAAGGGGGAATAGAATGATAGGATTTTGGGAAAGTGTCATAGTGAAGAACAAAGCCATGATGAAGCTGATCTGTAGTCAGATGAATTAAAGAGTAAACATCATGACAGTAAGAAGAATATTGTAGTATTAAGTTTGAAGGAAGAAACAACAGACACAAAGCAAAATATTCACATGCAGTACAAGAATATTGTGAGCATATTGTGAGCATCCAGGAACAGCCAATGTTCTTTTTGAGTGGATTAGTGTAACCACAAGCAATTATTTAAACAAAATGGCTTATGATATCGGTGCTGCTCAGGCATGCTCCTATTTAGCACGACATCATTTTGGCCCTTCACAGACTTACCGAGTGAACTTAAATGAGTTCATAAAGCCTTGTCTCTCTCTCCGTTCATCAGCTATAAAATAAGACAATAATAGAATTATAGAATGGTTAGGGTTGGAAGGGACCTTAAAGATTTTCTAGTTCCAGCCCCCCTGCCATGGGCAGGGATACCTTCCACTAGATCAGGTTGCTCAAAGCCCTATCCAGTCTACCCTTAAACACTTCCAGGGATGAGGCATCCATGTCTTTTTGCAACCTGTGCCAGTGTCTCACCACCCTCTTAGTAAAGAATATTGTCCCAGTGTTTAATCTGAGTCTACCCTCTTTCAGTTTAAAATTAATCCCCCTTGTCCTGTCTTTATGTGCCCTTGTAGAAAGTCCCTTTTCAGCTTTCTTGGAAGACAACAGTCTTCCAGTACCTGAAGGAGGCCTACAAGAAATGCTTTGCCTGCCTTGACTTTGCACACTGTGTACACTTAACAGGTGGAGGACCCGTTCCTTCTTGAATTTCTTTTGTCATAGTAGCTGCCAAGTCGGGCTTTTGTGTAGATGATCTCTTACATTTGCATGTATTGTGTTAAGGCTTCAGCTGAAGTGCTGAGAATGCCGTCAGGGCTTGATCCATTGTTCTTAATTACAAAGATCTCAAGGGATACAGAGGTTCTGGCTGACTGAGAAAGAAGGAGCAGAAAAATTTCAGAAGTACAAAAAATGAAATACAATTAATTTATCGCTGTGTTTTGCTGAGGTTTTTAACTGGTCATTTGCTGGAATACACTGGTCTCAAACTGCAGGTGTGTGTGCTCGTGCTGTGTGGATGCAATCACTGTTGCTGAAGTTTTCCAAGGATTTGTTATTTTTTTTTTAAAAGGTTACTAGAATTATTTTCACCTGCTTTGTCAAGCACTCTGATCTCTGATGTACTAATTGCCTCACCATCTGAAGGAAAGTTCACAGGACCTCAGTACCTTACCAGGCATATCTGTGTTTTAACCTTTGAGAGATAAAGCGAAAGCTACTATACAGAGCAAATGTCTGCTAAAGAAATACATGTGTTGGTGTTTGGGAGGCAGGCATGGGCTTCTTTTGTTGCTCTTTACTGTTAACTCTAGAATTAAATTCTAATTTTTCCTAAGATGATCTATTTCTGTTTCTTGATTTGCATATTTCGGTATGTCTATGTTCCTTTTTTAAACCTAGAGTGGGATATTGTGTGAAATTGATTGAAGTGATCTTTCTCTTTGATTCTAGGATTACAATTTAATTTTCTATGAACGCAGTGCATATTCTGGGTATAATACCAAGAAGTCTGTGCTTCACTTATCTAGGCGTGAAGGAAACGCAGTCTATGAATCCTATACATGCCTGGCATGTCACTGGTGCTAGAGAAAACTGTTTAATAAAGCAGTTTGATAGGCAATTACAGTGATAAATTATTTGTTCCTTTTAAACTGGTCTGTAACCTGACCCTGTTGCTTCAATTGAGCTCAGGTTCAGAGAAAGTCCCATGTAAACTAGTAAAGCCATGGATAGACCTAGAAACACCTGAACTGCTGCTAGGAAAGCTGAGGAACTAGGATGTTGTGATAGTTCTTGCAGGAAGTTCTTGGAAGTTTGCAGAAATGGTCTTGGGAATAGATGCTGGTGGATCCTTGCAGTAGAACATTGGATGTTCTTCCTCTGCTCATTACAGCTCAGACTCTGCTGTCTGCCTCAGGGCTGGAAGGGAGTAAGATCTAGATATTTTTAAGTTACGCAAAGGCTAAAAGTACAGGTAAATCTGTCCCCTCTGCACTACTTAAGAGAAATCTATATCATATATATGTGCATCATACAGAGATGAAAACACTGGTAATTTGCTGTCAGATCTTTAATATTTTTTCTCAAGTTAGTGATACTTTGTGAATGTGTTGGGTAATTGATACACATTTAGGTAGCCAGATGTATTTTTCTTTTTGCTTCAGCCTCAAAAATAACAAGTCATTGTTTTGAATCTCTGTAATATACAGTAAGTGCTAACAATCAGAACCAGTTATATATTTCTAACTAAATGAACAAAAGTGTTTTTGTGATGGAGTCACATTGTACTTTTTTGGTTGTCCACAAAATTCTGTCATTTTCTGTCAGTCTTTGGATAATTTTATAGGCTTAGGGAAAATGCATTTTGCTTTGACTGTTATGGGTATTATTGATTTTTTTCTCAAAAGTATTGTTTCTTTCCCCCAGGATTTTAAAAGAACACGAAGATAAAGTGAAAGAGAAAACCACTGAATTTCAAGCTGATATGAATAAAAAGTCTTGCTGTGTCAGGCCATAAAATGCTGGGGCGTGTTTAGACAAGTCAGACATTTATATCACACTACATGGCACCATCAGATTTGCTTTATCTGCCAAATATTTCTTCTGCTGTGTTGTGAGTGTAGGTGTAAGTGAAACTTAAAATCCTTGTATGATCTGATCTTCACTTTAGCAAATATTGTCTTTAGTTAATTGACGATGTACTTGGGACAGTAACAGTCTTTTATTCTGTCTGATGCCCAACACCACTGAATCCTGATTCATGATCATGCTTGTAGAAGCTGCTGCATTATTAATAACAAGAAATAATTTTATAGGAAGAAAACTACTTGGAATGTGAAGTAAATACTTACTGGTGTGGATGACCTATGTTCTGAATACTTCTGTTTATTTCAGTGCTCTTCAGATCATGATTTTGTGCTCAGCTTTGTTACAGTGTTTTTAAAAATTCACATAGTACCTGGTTGGTTGTTTAAAAGCAACACACCAGCAAAGTGCAAGGTGGTATTTTCAATCTTAGTGTGAAATATACATGAGCAAAGGATTGAAGAACTAAGATTTTCATAAATAGCATTAACTCATTTATACTACACGTTGTTGCATATTGGTCCTTGGTTAGAAAACCTTCCTCCCACTTAGGTGTGACGAATTAAGTATGTTTAGACGGGTCGCTCAGATACCATAAAGGCTTACCTGAGTTGTCGTCAAATAAGCTGGCATGTTTTGATTGTGAAGCGGTGCTATGCAAGTATCTAGCTTAGTTTCCAGAAACAATACAATTTCTCCTTGCTTCCAGGGAGGTGTTTAGGAACCCCTAAAACCCAAAAGGAGCAAAATGAGCATCCATTAATGAAAATCAATAGGCTTTCTGTTCACTTCCCAGGGTTGCTTCTTGAAGTCCATTACTACATGATTACTATCCATTATTCCATTTATCCATTATTTATTATTATTTATTAATCCATTATTTATCCATTACTATCCATTACTATCCAGTTAGTCCACTACTTCTCCATGACATGGTTGGTTTCTGGGCTGCAAGCGCACACTGCTGCTTAAGTTGAGTTTCTCGTCAACCAGCACCCCCAAGTCCTTCTCCTCAGGACTGCTCTCAATCCAGTTTCCACCCATCCTGTAGTTGTGCTTGGGAGTGCCCTGACCAAGGTACAGGACTTTACACATCATTGCAAGTCTTTTCTCATTCCCTGAAGAAGCCAGGGCTTTCTCACTGGAAGTTGCCGATTTTCATAGCCTGAACAGGAAGGGAGTAGGGAAGCAGGTGGAATTGAGACATTCAAATAGAATATTACGTCACTCATGTTACTTGAGCTGCTGTTTGTGTTATGTGGGTGATGAGCAGTGAAGACATTGCTCTTTGTGTTGTCTGTGTGAGTGATGACGTTAGTTTTGTGTGTGAATCTGTATCTTTGCAGTATGTGCTCAGCTTGGGTTTTGGCTGGACTTGAAAAAAGAAACAGCAGCAGCTACAGCTATCATCCCTCTATTACATTTTGTATGGTGCCCTGTTTATCCATATTTTATCTTTTGCCAGCTTTATCTCGTGTTGTGAGATCTGTGTTCTTTTGCTCTGCGCATACATAGTAGTGGTATTTTCCAGATCTCCTGACACTGTATTCAGCCTCCTCTTTTTACCTTTTCTGTCTTGTCAATGACCACATTGCAAAATGAGCATTATCAGCTTTGGAAAATCAGAGTCTGCCTATTTGCAGGATTCAGTGCTCCTGCAGCACTAAAATTAAGTCTTGCTTTTGCAGAGCAATCAGGAATGTGAATATTGCTATATCTGTATAGCTGTTATAAATGCTCATAAGCTATCTTTTTCAGGGAAGAGAGTACAGGGTGGGTTGGTGACTCACTGTCCCTGCCAGTCATTACTCCTCTGTTTTACCTTTTATAAGTCAGTAAAACTCTGCAATAAACCAGTTTATGTTACTGCCTTGTCAAAATCTCAGGAAAGAAGAGAGGAGAAAAAGAAGACAGTTCTCTACTGTGTTAGTGAGATGAAGTAGCCAAGTAAAATCTGGTAAAAACTGGAGCTAGTGGGATGATATGAGCAGAAAACAGCTGAGATTCAGTTGTAAGAAAAGAAGTCTAGAGGGCTGGGCAGTCCGTTTTCAGTAGCAGCAAGGTATTCAGTTGTCTCCTATGTTTGCAACTTCATCTTTAAATACAGATAAATGGAACTAGATATGAACTACTTTGCTATGCTTCTAAGGTGGTTTTGGGGGCCAGTGGTGAGCTCAGTATTGCTGCAGCCAAACACCAGTTTGGATACCTCTGCTAGGGGCTGAAAAGCCTCAAGACTACCATTGCTTAGCTCAGAGATATAGCATTCACCTCCAAAGCCTAGTGTGGTTCCCCTGTGACTGTGAGCTGTTTCTGCACGGCCTTGCTCCCAGGCGCAAATTAGCTGAACTGCGTTATACTGCACTAAAAACACAGCTTACCAGCTGACATAGCAGGTAACTGTATGGATCTATATTATGAAGCTGCAATAAGACTGTTGTTCGTTCCTTTGAAACAAGTATTATTGTAACAGAAAATAATTTGCATTAAATGACATGTCTGCCAGTAAAGAAAAGCAAACAACTGACGAGTGAAACCTCCTACATGCAGACATTTTTGACTGTAACCACATTGTAAAGTCACTTTCTACACTAAAATATACTGGTGTCATTAAAAGCCCTAGGTACTGTAAATTTGCTGTACAAAAGTTGGGTGCTGCTCACATCAAGGCAAATGGAGAACATACACACAAATGATTAGACTAGATCACAAATGATTAGATTTAGATTATCTCTAAATTGGAGAGACATCAATTTGATGGATGGACCACTCAGTGGATAAAGAACTGGCTGGATGGCTGCACACAAAGACTTGTGGTCAATGGCTCAGTGTCCAGCTGGAGACCAGTAACGAGTGGTGTCCCTCAGGGATCGGTGTTGGGACTGTTCAGCCTGGAGAAGAGAAGGCTGCGTGGAGACCTCATAGCAGCCTTCCAGTATCTGAAGGGGGGCTATAGAGATGCTGGGGGTGGACTCTTCGTTAGGAACTGTAGTGACAGGACAAGGGGTAATGGGTTAAAACTTAAACAGGGGAAGTTTAGATTGGATATATGGAAGAAGTTCTTTATTGTTAGGGTGGTGAGGCACTGGAATCGGTTGCCCAAGGAAGTTGTTAATGCACCATCCCTGGTGGTGTTCAAGTCCAGGTTGGACAGAGCCTTGGGTGACCTGGTTTAGTGTGAGGTGTCCCTGCCCATGGCAGGGCGGTTGGAACTAGATAATCTTAAGGTCCTTTCCAACCCTAACTTTTCTATGATTTTATGATTCTATTAAATAGTGGCAATTTTGTTTAATACTTCTTGTTAGCAAGATTCTTAGGGTTATGTAGAACAGCAGCTAAGCTATCTTTCTGTCATCGCTATGGAGATTAATTAGCTGTGCAAACATAGACTTCTGAAGGGTGCTATCAATCAAGAAACTGTAGTCATACAAAATCAACATTACAGGCATCTATCAAATGATTAAGTATTACCTGCTGGCAGGTCTCAAAATATCAAGCTAGGTAAGGAAGGCATGGTCTGTCATGAAGGGGAATGTATTTTATCACATCTGCTAATAGCTTGCAAAACCTCTGTCCTTGGAAGTTTTCAAGACAGGTTTTACACAAAGCCACAGGGGTTTGGCATAGCTTTTGAGAAAGTTCTGTTTGGAGCAGTAAGTTGGACTTGAAACCTCCAACGTTTCCTTACAACTTTTCCATGATATAGATGGAAAAAAAATAACCTTTTAGTCAAGCAAACTTTTTTGCATGTCTGCTTTTTATACCAACATTAAAGCTTAACAGTTTGTCTGAGACTGCTACAACACCCTGCAACACAGCATCCAAGGGTGCTATGAAAGCACTCTATGGTGCAAGACATTCACAGGAATGAAAATGTCAGTCCTATCTTCCAGAAGAACAAAAAAGGAGGGTCCAGACAACTGCAGGGTGTTAAGCCTTATCACAGTTCCTGAGAAAGTGACAGAGCAACTAATCCTGGAAACCATTTCCAGACAAATGAAGGACAAGATGGTGATCAGGAATAGTTAGGATTGAATTACAAAGGGGAAATTATGCTTAACTAAGTTGGTAGTTTCTACAGTGAGATAGCTAGCTTGGTGGGTAAGGGGAGAGTCCTCTTTGTTGCTTACCTCAACTTTTGTAAGGCTTTTGACACTGTCTCCCATAACATCCTCATTGATAACATAACAAAACATAGGTTAGATAATTGGACAGAAAAGTGCTTTGAAAACTCTCTGAATAGCTGGGCCCAGAGGATCTAAAGAAGAAAATGCTCAAGACAGATGTTGATCAGTGTGGGTAAATACATGATAAAGGTGGGGAATGAAGGGGAGGGAACCAGACGTTTTACACAACTGCCCAATGAAAGGACAAGGGGCTACAGGCACAAGTTGAAACACATGAAATTCCACCTGAACACGAGAAAATACGTTGGATTTTATTTTTTTTTTTTTTTTAAATGTAGAGGTGGTCAAACACTGGAATGGTTTTCCCAGAGATGTTATTGAGTCTCCATCCTTGGAGATATTCAAAACCCAGCTGTAAATGGTCCTGGGCAACCTGCTCCGGATTGTCCTGCTTCAGCATTGAGGTTGGAACAAGATATTCTCAAGGGGCTGATAGATCACAGTGGTACTTTCTGCCTCCCAAAATTCTGACCCTCTGTGTTCAAAACCCCATGGGACTAGCAGGATCTCCAAGATGACTAGATTTATCCTTACTACCACAAGCAATTACATGAGTGTGGACCGTAATAAAAAGAACATGATGCACAGGCAAATGAGAGATAAGGACAGCTTAGAAGAAAAGTTTGATTTAGGTTTGTTTCTGATTTATAAGCAGATTCTGGTTTTCTGTATATCACTAACGTACAAGCTAGAAACATCTTGAACCGAAGGAAAAGAAACAGCATATTGTGGCAGTACTGTTTAA